GGGGCCAATATTTAAATCCGTTGTAACAAGAAATCCGCTGTGGCGAGGTCCGCTGTGACGAGGTTTGACTGTAATAAAATTCACAGTTGCGCACAATTTATTAAAGCTAAATAATGAATATAACTAATGAATGATAATGATTGCTATTGATTCGAATCAGCTCAAATCAAATCGAATTGAATCAAAGTATAATTCGGATTTGATTCGGATCCAATTTGGATGAAACGAATCAAAATTAGGCGATTCGAATCGGTTCGAATTTCGTTGATTCGCTCGGGACCTTATTCATTTATAGCTTAATGACAATTTTGTCCTTGCTTTCTTTTCTTTCTCACATAAACCTATTATTTTTTCTTCAATATCTATTTCGTAGATAATAACATCAAACCGCCAGGAAGACCAATCCATATCCATGTATTCATTATTAGTTATAAATCATGGTTGTTTATAACTGTGGGATGGAGGTGAAGAAACCATAGGATCTGTAGGTGTTGGATAAGGCTCCACTTCATTACTTTGATTGTTTAAGGTATTTGAAACATTCATTATATTTTTGATTGTAGATTAATTGGCCTAAATAGTGAAATAGAATCAATTCGCAAAAGTTGAGTCAAGCCAGGCCAAGCTTTAGTCCAAATACAAATGCGATCTGATTTTTGCACAACACTGTATTAACAGGAGCACAATTTCAATGTGGACTACCATACCTCATCTTTCTTGTCCTCCTCGAAAAAGGATTTCCTCCAGCATCTGCAATTATCTCTTGATGTTCACTTAAATCGAATGAGTGACATAGATAGCAACAAATGACTTTGAGAGTAATGTAACTTATCGCATGATTTCTTCTGTGGTGAATTTACTTCAGCTTCACCAGTTTCATTGAAAGCTCTAGATAATCCCTATAGGTTATTTTTTGAAAGTTTTGTCTGCCAGTAACACCATGCAGATCCATACTGTTCATAAGATGTATCCGGTTTACTGACAAAATATGAGGTTAGTTGTTCATAATAACAATTCACCGTTTGCATAAACATCATTACCAGATAAAATTCTGCAAAGCTTTTTTCTGTTCATAAATCAGTTCTTCCCAATATACCTGAAACCTCTTATTTGCATGCTCAGTTTTGACCCATTGAATAGAAATATAAATGTGAATATATGCTTATTTCCATCAAAAGTAAAAAATTAAGCCAGTAGAAAAAATAAGTCAAATAATTCGGTCGTAAATAGTGGTGGCTGGGACGAGAGCAATACTCCTAATCTGGATAAAAGCAGATGGAACTTCACCAATCCATTGCTTGAGTTGATACGAAAACCAACAATCTTAATCTGGATAAAAGCACGTAAGAGCTCTCTTAAACAAAATATAAAGATACATTACTCGCAAATTTGTTGGATTAATCTCTTTTGCTTTGAATAAAAATCTACAGATCCAGGTGCTGTTAAGAGCAATCCATTCGTCTGAAAAGCATACTTATATGAGAATTATACCACGGTGGAAGTTCAAAAATCAGCATAAGACCATGTTTCATTCCCCTTTAAGTAAAGCACAAGTTCTAGAATATCCAGCACTTAGAAACATCATGTGATTTTTGGTATTTTGTATCGTTTGTTGAAAATACTTTTGAAAATTTCGTCCACAAGTATAGTTTTCCCATTTGTATTTTTGGGAACAACTATAGTTAT